AAACAGCCACACATGGCTCGCTTTGTTCATCGTAAGCGGCTTCATTCCACCATTCAGTTGCAAGAACGCTGTCTTACTAGACCCCCAATTGTGTACTTCCCTTTATCAATTTCTTTCCTGATCTTAAAGAACAGAACAACCAAAAAAAAATGATTTTTAGGATGAATAAAGTCATCTCATGGAAAAGTGAGTAGCAAATTTTGTAAAGAAAAAGTGAGCATTGATAGGAAAAAAATGCTTCTTGTTGCCTTCACCAAATCGTAGAGCAGTTACAGACGCTCTCTATCCTGCCAGATTTTACCATAACCGCCCCTATCAGGATCATACTGCTCACGATATTCATCGCGGACCTGGAAGGCAAAAGTCTTTTACATAAGCACCATGGCAATGTTGGTAACAAGAAATGAACTTAGTGTTACCTGTCCGCCGTGCTTTCCTCTTCCATACTGGCGTCCTTCTACAAAACCGGCGTCATAGTCAACTCTAATAATCCTTCCATCCAACATTGTACGATTTAGGAAACGTACGGCATTCTTCGGTATCTGCCCGTGTATAATAACTAAAATATTATGGGTAATTGCGTAATGTCAAGACGCGAATGCGATTCTGACAACCACAAAAACATAAAAATGCAATACTTACATCACGAAACAGAAGCCGCATGGACTTTTCTTGAAACGATCAAGACCCATAATTACTCTTTTGACCTCTCCAGCACGGTTGAATAACTCATACAACTGGAACAGGACATTTTGACTGATTTTTGTTTGTTACCTGCTGTTTTTGGTCCGCAGTTCGCCTTGCGAATGTTTCACAAGAATGCTGGGTTGTGAACAAAACTTTCGCCCCAGACGGGACTAAACCGCCCCTCCCCCTACGTGTGAGTGCTGACAAGCAATGGTAGGTACACCATGAAATGATGCCCCGGTAGCGTAACTTGGAGCGCGCTTTCCCGGTAAGCGAGAGGTGCGGGTTCGAGTCCCGTCTGGGGCGAAAGTTTTGTTCACAACCCAGTAACGTGATCAATCTTCGCAAACAGTGTCTTTCCAAACATGTTGATGGATGAAATTGCTTACAACAGAGTTCTACATTCGATCTGTGAGATCTTAAAAATTCACGTCTCATCATGCGCTTGAAAAAATCCAATTCTCGATAGGAATATTTTTTTCCGAATTCCGAATGCCGTTACCATCAGTATTTGCTGTCAGTTTCCCTTCAATAAGCTTCACAATTCAGATCTCCACATGGGTAAAACCTTGATAAAAGCGAAGTCCCACCGTAAAGCCAATTTTATATGGTGAAAGAATAAAATTTTCATTTCTGCAGTCACTCCGCTAGCTGGGAGACAATGACCGTAGTCAAATACGGGCATTTTAAAAGAGCTCCTGACGAGATTTAATCAATAAACAAGGTGATGGTCAGTGCGTGAGAACGGTAGAAACTCGCTCACCGAACACAGCCAGTCGTAGCTAGCTGTCCTCCAAGTGAAGTTCCTACTTTAGCTCTTGAGTCAGGATCAGTGACATAGATGACATAAGAACGATTTTACATGTGATAACACAATCCCCTTGTCCTTAATCACACCAGCACGGCAATGAATTTTTGATTTCAAGGATTTCAAATACGAACTGCTTCCTCTCCTTACACTTCCTCCTCCCCTCACCACTCCCTCCCCTTATGAACGTTACTCCCGAGCAGGGT